TCCAAATGCTAATCCACATGTTAATCCCTGAGCGAACAGGAACGGGAAATGGATTTTGAAATGCAGTTTATTAAACTCCTCTCATCCGAGAAGCTTCTTCAGTTCTAGAGTCAAATGGTGGAGAGTCCCAGATTTAAGCCCTAAGTGTCCCCCCAGAGGGTCATGGACCCCCATTGCTCCTCTACCTAATCACATGAGCCGAGGTTTGAAAACAGGTGCCTCTGTTCAAAGAGGGTCGGAGAACAGAGGCGGTGGCTTATGACACCAACTGTCTGCCATTTATAATCCAGAACCTTCACAGACACAGTTCTGGAAGGTCTCCGTATTTAGCTGAAGGGTTTCTATATCAGACCCTCGGTCTGTAACCAGCCTGCACAAATGTGGACTTAGATTTATTTCACAATCTAAACTATGAGTCTGGATCTTGAAACCTGATATCTGTCTTCATTTGATTATAATGAATTCAAATGGCTTCCTGTTGATAGCACAACAAGACACTGAAATTCTTTAGTCCTCTGTTTAATTTTGTGGGAATATTTACATAAATCCTGCAGCAGCGGTTTGTAAGAAAAGAATTACACATTTATAAAGCTCCATATTTCTGAAGCACCACTCTCAGACTGACCGACCACGAAATCCTTTAGTCCAGCATGGAAATCACAGATAACTTATTGTGACGCATCAAACGTTGCACCTTTATGACAGGTATATAATAAATCCAACTGCGCATGTGCTGCTTTTCAGTTCTGAATTCTTTAGACAACAGATCTAAAAGTTTGTGTTTTTTAAGAGTGCAGGTCAAAGGTCAGAAGCACAGATGCAGTTGTTAAGTCATCACGTACTCATGTTTTTAAACATGTTTTGTATTTTGTTCTATTTAATCTGAACAAGCCCCTAAAAACAGTCAGTGATCACTGTCGGCCTCTCTCGGTTTTTATCACCACTGTTCATTTTAAAGCTCAGTTTTAAACCCTTCTGATGTAGCTACAGCCCATGCAGCAGTATATTAATGACTAACCTCGTATTGTGGATGGATTTTCTCAGTTGTTCTCCTGACTGAAGTTTGGTCACGTTCACAGGATCCTGCCATGCGACTGCATTTGTCTCTAACCATCAGGAACCCTCACATTAACTTTTATCGAGTGGAAAAAAGTTAGCGTTCATCCTACAGCTTCACTGTGTTTATATTATGCTAACATAGCTGTGTAGCTAGTGATCACGTAGCACATCATTATATACCAGCTAGCCCAACTTCAGTAACCCTACAATCACTGCTGTTTAGTTTCTGTCTTCATTTATGTTGGAAGTGGTAGCAGAGCTGTACGTTTGAATTTTTCAGAAATCTCTCAGTCAGAACATGCTATATCATGTTTAGGTGGAAGCTAGCGAGCTAACGTCTTGCTAATGTCTAACTCTGTTAAGTTTAATAAATCCTGTTTTCATGGATGCTTGGATGTTAAACTTTATTTTTACACCTGGTAAAGCAGCAACACGGATCATTTTATTACAGATTAAAGAATTTGGACAGTTTTTAACTCCCAGTGATGCCGCAGTGACCAGTGACACAGTCCCAGACCAAGACGACAACAACAACGGCGCAGACGAGTCTCAGACCGGATGTTGATTGAGGCCCCGCCCATTCTTTTATTTTGAAAACCACGCCGGAACAGAACTCTGTGAATTACAGAGAGAGAGATACGTGCCGAGTCAGTCCGATCCGTGAGTCGTTGAGTCTGTCGGTGTGGAGGTTTCTCGGTCCGTGGGTCCTGTCAGCGGCGCGATGTCCGCCGCCCCCCGCCACAGCTTCGCTCTTCTTCACGGCCTCCTCCTCCTCTTCTTCTTCTGTGGTAAGTCCCGCAACTGGCTGCGTTAGCATAGCATGCTAGCCTCGGTCCGTGCTGCTTATTTACTTAATTTTCTTTTCGAAACTACAGAGCGAGGCTCACCTGTGCCCGCGCGGGTCTGTCACCTGCCCGCGGTGGGGTTTATATTTGAGATTAAAGGATCGTTTTAGCCCGCAGCTGTTTGTGTGTGCGTGCGTGTGCGTGTGCACAAACGGGAAGGAAACGGGTTAAACTGGCACGGACTGGCTCGGTGTCACAGTCAGGAATGCCAGGTTGGTGGGGCTGAAGGCTCTACGGAGCAGACAGAGTGTGTTAAAGTGGATAAAATGAGTGTGTGTGTATGCGCGCAGGCAGCTCTGGCATAATTCAGCGGTGACTGTTATTGGAGTGAAAGCTGTAATCATAATATTTCTGTGCGGTGACACATGATCAGAGAAGCCTGGGTGTTCGGGACATAAAATCGATCATGTTTCACAGTGGGGGGGATTCCCTCTGTACAGGCGTCCCACGGGGGGTTTTTTACAGTGTATTTACCGGATGAAATGTATGATAATATTTCCCAGAGCAGGTTTGGGATGTGCGCTTCGTCTCATGTTATGATTGTGCACAGAGACACGAAGATGCGCCTCGGGCTGCTGGACTGACTCACCTTTCACTTTGTCTTTCAGGATTCTTTAAACATGAGATAACGGAGATAAAAAAAAGAGTTTTTATTCAGAGTCGTGCTCCTAAATACAGTATTACAGTAAATATAATCCAAGTATTGCATTAAAGTTGTACTTTGTGTGCGCGGTGTTTTCAGTTTGTTGCCTGATATTGATGATTGCGGCCGTGTACGTGAGCTTTGATGGCGTCTGTGTTTACGGGAAACTGATCTGAGCTCACTGCAGTTCCTGATTGTCTGTTCCTCATAGCTGCTGGATGATGTGAAAGAGCTGACAGGAGAATGAACTCGTGGTGTTAAAGTTTCTGCAGAAATCATCTGTTCCTGGTAAACATAAATGGGAAGAGGTCAGGGATTTACTCAGGGACAAAACGATTTGACAAACAGCATAAAAACGTCGTGTTCCACTTCCTCTCTCGCCGCTCTCTTCTGCTTTTCTTTGAAAGACTGAGGCTGTGTTCACACTCAGGATAAAGATTGTCGAACAGCACCCACAGAATGAAAATAAACCTGCATGACTCTGAAACCACCATTGGAGGAAAAAGCTCTGTGTTTGCAAAAACCGAAGGCTGTTCCTACGTTTGAAGCATCAGAGTGGCTCTGAAACAGGCAGCAGGCTCAGCGTGCTCTGGTGTAAACGGTGACGGTCAGGAGGGCTGCCGCTCCTCTGCGTTATTGCGCTGACCAGCTCACCACAGCCTTTCGCAGGTGTGCCGATGGTGGACAAACCCCATGATCTGCTGGACGCCCACCATCATGCCACAAACAGGAACTTCAGATGAAGCAGTTGTTCCACACCGCTCACACCTCTGGAGCTGGAACCCTGTGGATCGTCAGCTCACACTGAATCCATTTTAATCAGAGTTCAGCAGGTCCTCGTTCAGCTGCCGGGCGTCTGAGCTCGTTTGACCTGAAGGTGTCAGAAAGGAGGGAAATGATCGAGTGGAAAGTCCTCTTCACAGCAGTTATTCTTCCTTCACCCTTTATGTGACAGAAACTAGAACCACAGGACTCCGATGTGTGTCCAGTCTGAGAAATCAGGCGATAAAGAAGGAAAAAACTTTATTAACCGCCCTGATCTCGCTGTGCCGTCTGAGCGCAGAGCACACAGACGCTGTGAGAGCACGCCACTCTGACAGAGCTTCTTCTGTCTTGTCTGTTTTCTGTTTGTTGTCATGTATCTGTTGTGTGACTGCTGTGTGCGAGCGACACACACCTTTTATTGGGGTCAATAAATTGACCTGAATCAGTAAAATGGATCCGAGCTTTGAATAAAGGCTCACAGAAATGAGGCTGTTCTTCAAACAATTCTGTTTTTATGCCGGCGTCATCCAGCCCCACAGGTTCTTCCACTCTCAGTGTGATGCATATTTGTTTAGTGTGCACACCTCAGCCTTTGTC